CGATTAAACCACAAAGGGTACAGCATCAGCGTTTTGATAGTGCGTGTTCTTTGCTCTATGGTGCGTGGTAGTTTCTGTGATAGGAGAGCCAAACGATGTGTAGGGCCTATTTATTTTTTAACATGTTTCATTACTAATATTGATTCTATGTCAATCAGTCAATCAATCTTTTATTTTCCAATTCTAAAAAGAAAAAAAAAACATTAGAAAATCTTTGTTTATACACTGCAACATACCGAGCCTATCGAGATATTGCATTAAAATGCATATTTTAATGCAATATCACTATACTGCAAGTCACAACTTAGCCACTTACAGTTTACATGATCCGGATCCACATGTTGAATGATTTTGCGTAGCTTGAATTTCTTCGATGTTTATATGGGATTATTAAGCCATTAAATTGGTTATAATCTTCAGATACGTTAATGTGTCTATCGTTCTAATTTGTTGGAAAATGAAATCAAAACTCTTTAATATTTGAGCCTTCCTCCCAGTATATTCGGCAATTTAGTTCCCGAAATCGTACATATTTTTATCAGTGAATGATTGCTTACTCTACACTCTACTAGCTATCATTTTGTGCCATAAATTATAATAATTAGGCCTATTTAGTAAATTTGTCTAGATTTGGTTATTTTCATCCCCGTTTGCCGTTAATTATCTTCTTGTTCAAATTATAACTGTATATTTTCCTGAATTAATATTACGTGACGCCAAAAATGGATGAACAATATAATGTTCATCTTTATTCACTCAAGAACAGCTTCTTATATCGACTCACAAAATCCGAACAATGACCCGATGGATGGAATGTCATTTTCACTTCATGTATTTTAAAAATGTTGTTTAGGGCTGGATGGCTCGATATTCGGCTCACATCTTGATCTCGTGTCTTCAAATGTTTTTTTGTTTTTGTTTTACAGTAAATGTTTTCTGTTTTGTGATTGAAAGAAGAAATATATGAAATAATATTATTAATTCGAAAATTAACATTTTAGGCTTTAACATCAGTGCAGTGATAAACTTGGTGCGCGGTCAGGAATTGTAGAATTATGAACCTAACATTCCAAATAGTAGGAGGCCTAATACATTATTTCTACGCTGATTCCATCATGGTATTCCTTCTTTCTTACGCATACGCATTGTACCCGCAGTCAAAGTAAAAACACTCTTATTGAATACACCTGGAATAATATGCAAGGTAATAATAATAATAATAATAACGATTTTTAAAATAAGGTAAAAGAACTTTTGTTTACCGTTCTACTAAATTATGGAATAAACTCCCGGATGATATTAAAACCAACTTTAAATCTATGACACTTTCAAATTTTAAGCATTCTATTTCAAATCCTCACCAATAATTCCTGCTTAATCTTACCTGATTTTCTCTTACCTTGCATATCCCCATTTTTATTATTCAAAATTTTGTTTCTACCTATGTTTCTTTTATTTTTATATGTGTATATGTATGTATGTATGTATATTTATATACATATGTATGTATGTGTGTGTATGTATGCATATATATATATATATATATATATTATATATGTATGTGTGTATGTATGTATATGTGTGTATGTGTGTATGTATATATGTATGTATGTGTGTACATATATATATATATATATGTGTATATATGTATGTATATATATATATTTTAATATATATATATATATTTTTAAAATTTGTAGTTAAGTTTTTGCTCTCTTTGTTATTTTCTGCTTTTGAAATGTTTTTGTAGATAAGAACTGAACCACTTTGGAAATCAGTACTATGTATTGAAAGTGTATATTCAGTATAAAGAAAGAATAAATAAAAAATAAATAATATTACAGATCTATGCACTGATAACGAAATTTGAAAAAAAACTAGAATTAAGAAAAAACCCGAGTTGACCATAAAAAATAGTAGGCCTATGTGAAGCAAAGTAAGCCGAACTGATAGCGTACATAATGCTTGAGGTAGTTATGTCCCCCAAGCGCTTGTAGTAGTTCATCCCTGACCAGGAAAGGACAAAATATTTTCAACAGTCATTTTGAGAGCATGAATTGAGTATACACCTCAAAACAAGGTTATATTGACTTTTCTCGGTTTCATTTATGCTGTGCCCTTGTCAAACAATGAAGTACTGTGCAATAATAACCAATAAGCTGTTGCTACATAGGTCTATTGGTTAACTTATTTCCGTGTAATTTCGATTGATATTTCGCATTAGAGAAGCAAAAAAGGAGAAAAATTACAAAATTGCTTATAGAGGCTGGAAAACCCATGTCTGGTGTTATGTATCACCGGATTTTTTTTCCAGTGGTGCCAGCCTAGGAACCAGGGCAAGCATTGTACTAATCATAGTAATAATCAAGTATGAACTCGGCCAGACTGATAAGAATAAGATATAAATATATTTTTAATTAAAATTTTTTTATTTTATTTCTTTAAGTACAGAATAAAGATAAACACATGAAACATGTAGAATGCAAAGCAGGAATTCGATATTTTTTTCTTGTGTTCCACAATCTTTAAAATATACCAATGATATATTCTTGCATTCATAGAACTTATAATGTAAATATAAAATATTTCTTAGATGTCTAATAAGGTCATCGTTGAGTAAGTTGGCATTAGCTTAAATTTAATTAATGATTGTTATAATTTTCTCACATTTGCTGTCTATTTACTTTAAGTTGTTAATATCATCATGGAGGAATTAATTGATTCCTCCATGGGACCATGATATCATATAGGGGGCCTAGCATAAAACAATTAAATTAAACTTTTAGTATGTCTCTTGGTGTATTTCCAAAAAAACAGAGGGCGCTCACATGTTTTAGCACTCTGTGAGCTACAACTAACCCAAATTCAAATCGATGTTTTCCCCGGATACGAAATGGTTAGGTTATCCCTGACACAAGGAAGAACCTAAAAAATAAATTCAAAGCAATTTCGCACGTCATCGGTAGACTAGTTCTCTAAACATTGTTATATGATTGAATTAACAACAAGACTGCATTTTACCGTTTTGAAATAACAAAGGTCGCCATAGCTTACCGATGAAAGGATGTAACACGATGACTCATGATATACGGTGTTACTGCTGATTTTGCCTGTTAGTTAACTTACTTCCGTGTAGTCGATTTATTTATTTATTTATTTCGCATTTAAAATACAGATTAACATGGATAAAAATGTGAAAAGTTTACAAAAGTACAAACTGACGAGGAACTAGTTGTTGAATACCTACTGAAAATTCCAGATATAGCCTAAAGCTAATCTTAAGAATTATTACCAATAAGTGGTACAACAAATTTTACTAAAAAATGTAGACGGCGGTTTGGCGTAGCAATTTCAATCAGGTTCTGAACCTGTCGTGGCCAGAATGATAAGAATAATATATAAATATATTTAAAATGCCAAATATTAATTTCGATTGATGATTTTGCTTTAGAGAAGCGAATGAAAAAGGAGACAAATTACAAAAAAAAAAAAAAAAATATTCATAGTAATAATCAGTAAACACGGACAGAGTGATAAGAATAGGATATAAATATATTTTTAATTCACAGTTTTGTTCCAGTTTCACTTTTAAAAAATGTTAAAAGTACAAACAAAAATGAACACATGAAACAGAGTAGGAAAATTTCTTGTTGAGCACATTCTTTAAAACATGCAAATGAATCTTTGCATAGCTCTCAACGAATGTAGTCCTGTAAATAAATGAATAAAGAAATTAAATAATTATTAAGTAATAAAATGCCTCTGGCGGGACTCGAACCTGCGACCTCTCGCTGTCAAGGCGAGCGTCATAACCATTAGACCACGGAGGCTTCATGGTTGAACAGATTCAAATACCACCTGATACAGGACTACATTCGTAGTCCTGTAATAAATGAATAAATATTCATTTATTTACAGGACTACATTCGTTGAGAGCTATGCTACACGATGTATTATTATGTTCTTTATTCGAACACTGTATTTACCTTTCTTT